GATGGTCTGTTTAGGTTATGCTTCGATTCGAATGTTGCTTGCTTTGCGCTTTTAGGAGTTCCCATTAACATCAACTAACTAGTAAGTGAATACACTAGGTTACATATTGTCGAGATTAGATAATTGTATAAGGTTAGGATTAACCCTATTACGTAACTCTTGTTTGAGTCCAACCGTTGTAGTGTGAGACCTTTCATTCAAGGAATTATCTAGTTTCGGTGATATGTAATTGTATTTGTAAGCTAGTTAGAGGGTGTTAGGGGGAGTTCCTTCTGCAGCTAATAGCGGAGAGTGGTGTGGTGGTAGTCCTAGGAAAAACTAGGAGGTGATTCGGTGCCGAGAGCCTTGTTTTAATAAGGGTTGTTTGGATTAATAGGGAAGTAACTTGGGGAATTCGGGACGATTCTTGAGGAAAGTACGGATATAAGTGGAAGGTAGTATGGGCTCGTATTACTGGAAGCAGAGGATCCGTACGCGAGTCAAGGAAAGTCACGATGATACCAGGGAGCGTGTAGAATGTAGGATTCTTCGCGTATATATATATATATATATATATATATATATATATATATATATATATATATATATATATATATATATATATATATATATATATATATATATAATGATGGTTTGAATGGTTTATTTTCAGTATGGTGGTCACTCAAGGAGGTTCTGGTAGTGGCTCTGGTACCGGTTATGGTTTGGGTTCAGGCTCTGGGGTCGGACATATGGATGATCATGCAGGAGTTCATTTAATCATAGATTACACACAATATTCTTGAGCAGACTCATGTGATATTTGGTACGGTTAAGGAGGGTATCCTCGAGATCCTGGATGAGTGTTTGGGCGCTTTTCGTTCTGAGATGGTGGCGATGATGGGAGCTTGCACTTTGACTTTCCGTGAGTTCCGGGTATGTGGGGCTTCGGAGTTCTTTGGGAAGAAGGGCCCGATTGCGAGCAGGTATATATATATATATATATATATATATATATATATATATATATATATATATATATATATATATATATATATATATATATATATATATATATATATATATATATCTAGGGAAAGGTTATTTGGAAAACAAAAAAAACCCTAAAAATCATAAAAATGTATAAAAAAATACTTAGAGATCACAAAACTTTGTTTTAAATTTTTTTATGAAAAAATCGCAACTTTTTTAATAAAATCGTTGAAAAAAAAAATCAAAAATGGTTTTTTTTCAAAAACAAATTTCAGCGATTTTGTAGTAAAAGCTGTGATTTTTTCATAAAAAAATTCAAAAAAAAAGTTTTGTGATCTCTAAGTATTTTTTTTATGCATTTTTATGATTTTTAGGGGTTTTTTTTAGGGTTTTTTGTTTTCCATAGAATCTAAACCTATACATATATATATATATATCTATATATATATATATATATATATATATATATATCTATATATATATAAACATAAATATGAATGTAAACATAATTGAGAACGTAAATAAACATTAATATTAATAATAAATGTAAATAAACGTATATATGAAGCGTAAACGTTAACGAGTATATGTAAAAAACGATTAATGCATGTATCCTCCCCCAAAAACATAAAAAGTATAAAAGGGGTCGTAGAACTCACCCTTGAAGCGTGAAAAGTGTTCGTTTCGAAAATTAGGACTCATTTTGCGATTTGTAGACTTTTTAAAAGGAGACTTTTACGACAAACTGACACTGAAGGCTTACTAATCTGCTTGTCAAGAGCACATACAACTAATATTTACTTTGATCGGAGCTGTCACAACTGTCGCCAGAAAATCGGAGCTCCGTCGGTCACGGTGGCATGTAGCTGACCGGTGAGCCCTTTTTCTTGGTTGTTTTGCGTTGGAGAGGGGGAGCAGCTATGTCAGAGCAAGCGAGGGGAGGTGGTCGTGAGGGAAAGATTCAATGGAGGTAGGGTTGTTCGCGATTTCCGGCGACAAGAAATCCTCTCAGGCGGTGGCGCAACTTCCGAGAATGAGAGAGATAGAGAGTATGTAATGTCACACCCCGACCAAGGCTACGGAACATACCGGGCTGTGCGACTTAGTTCATTTATCACAGGTAAATTGAGTATATAACACAAGTATAACAATAAACAAAATAACATTCGTGTTCCATCTTGATATTTGAATACAAGGTTTTTACAAATAATAATACTACATGAATTGCGTTAACAGATAGGCATATAATACAACAACAAGTAAATAAGGTCACCTGTAATCCAATCCATCTTGAATGTATGTTTAGTGATTTACTGACAATACATGTAGTTTTGAGGGTCAACACAAGGTTGGTGAGAGTTACAAGTTTTCTGCTAACAGCAGTAATACTTTTAAAAAGTCTAAAAATAAATTTTTTTTTATGTATAGCAGTAGTTAAAACTGTGTTTGCAAGGAGTTTTTAAAAGCCAAAAATTTATTTTGGTATAAGTAAATCAATACTTAAAGCTATGTTTGTAATGAATCTTTGAATATCCTTGAAAACCAAACTGTACTGTTACATAAGTAATTTCATACTTAAAATAGTTTTGAAAGCAACCAAGCCCATGGTTTGTAGTGTGTGTTTGTGTGTGTGTGTGTGAGAGAGAGAGAGAGAGAGATTTCAGTTAATGTTTATAGTGAGTCCTATAATCGAACTATGTGATTGAATGTACCCCCTACAACGCTTCATTGGACATTTTAGTAACAATTGTAGACACTTATCACCCGTTTCGATTGACAGGGTCGGCTGGTAGATTTTAAGTGCCTTGTGCTAAGAAGAAAAATAGGGCCCTAAATAGAATTTTTTTTAATATATAAGGAAAACAAACTTAAGACGGTGAATTGTAACTTAAAAGTAAATAAATTTATTAAAAAGGAACATATGGAATTTTATAAAAAGTTTAAGGGCTAATTATGTAATTTCTGAAAACTGATTTGTTAAAAATATTGCAAGGAGGGGTTGTTTATGAAATATATAGCAAAAAGAAATGGGCAAATATGTAACTCTAATTTAAAAAAGTCAAAAAGAAATGGGCAAATATGTAACTCTAATTTAAAAAAGTCAAAATGCTAACTCTAATTTAAAGAAGATTTTAAGTGCCCTGTGCTAAGAAGAAAAATAGGGCCCTAAATAGAATTTTTTTTAATATATAAGGAAAACAAACTTAAGACGGTGAACTGTAACTTAAAAGTAAATAAATTTATTAAAAAGGAACATATGGAATTTTATAAAAAGTTTAAGGGCTAATTATGTAATTTCTGAAAACTGATTTGTTAAAAATATTGCAAGGAGGGGTTGTTTATGAAATATATAGCAAAAAGAAATGGGCAAATATGTAACTCTAATTTAAAAAAATCAAAATGCAGTGAAGAAGATTTGAACCCGCGTTGCTTTTACGTAGGAAGACATCTTTGCCAATTGGGCTACACAAATTTTATGTAATATCTTGAATAAATTCATATATATTTAGTTATTAAATATATAATTTAATTAAAACTCGGGCCCTAATTTTTTCGAGGCCCTGTGCGGCTGCCCCTCTTGCCCCTCCTTAAAACCGGCCTGTCGATTGATTGGTCGAGGTTGTAGCTAGCAACCGCATGTAGGGATGTCAACCACGTATTGATCAATACATATATATCTTGCTCTGAAGATTAATGTTTATAGTGTTGTGAGTATGCTAAGTGTTTATACTCAACTAATGAATATAGTCTCACTAAAAATTCCTTAACTAAAGTATGTGAATAACTCCCAGCCCTAACTTAATTGTGGTTAAGTCACTAGGCATAATGAATTTCATTGTATAAAGTTTATAAAAGTCGTGTATGCTTGTTATGTATGTAAAAGTGTAATGTACTCGCTTTTATAAAGATGTATGTTTCAACGTAACGAACATATGTACATGTATAAACTTTAAGTATTTAAATATATAAATATACATGAATAATAATAGCTTGAATCCTTGAAATACTCCAAAGTTGTATAACGTGTTTGTTATAATATACAATGTCACATAAAAATCATATATTTTTACATCATGTAGCATTTGTTGTGTAAACTAGTTATTTCATGATAAAATAACCATAATACATATACGAAAAGTTAATACAAGTTTATTTGTAACGATATGTTACATTGTTAAATAACAATTTTATAAACTAGGATTATTGTATTTTCGAATAAAATGATAACTTGTTTGTATAAACGATGTACATAGGCACATGTATTCCCCCCCCCCCCCCCTCCCAAAAAAAATAATTAAAAATATATATTAAAAAGTGGTCGTAAGCACTCACCCTTGAAGCGTAAGTTAGAATTGTTCGGAGTTCGTTTATTTTTGGGAAGCTTGTCGTGAGAACCGCAAAGTCACGTTTCTTGAACTTTGAAATATTTCCGGGATTTTTTCATAACGAGTTTAAACTATTGGGGGCTGTTTGATAATTTAATTAACCAAAATAGGACTGCTTTGGTTAAAATAAATAAAAGGGAGGGACTGAAATGGTTTAAATTGAATTTATGTTTGACAATTCGACAGATTTTGTTAAGGATTTCCAATGAATGGGCTGAAATGCTTAATTTTATTCAAGTTTGAAGATCGAGATTTATTTTTTTAAAAATAACCAAATGAGGGGCTGTTTTGTTTAAAATAGAGTAAATTACACAAATCGTCCCTCGTGTAGGTGCCAAAATATACGTTCAGTCCCTATTTTTAGAAATTAACTCGGACTGTCCCTTATTATTTCAAAACTTACACGCTTCGTCCCTTGTTATTTTAAATTTACACATTGTATCATTTGGCAACCATAAAATGACTATATTGCCCTTAATATTTTAATTTTTTATTTAAATATAAATTATTTTATATTAAAAAAAAGAAAAAGAAATTAAATACCCAACCCACCCCTCTTCGTTCACTTTCCCCCTTCCCTTCCACCTTCCTTCTACCTTCTTTGTTTCCCGGTCACCGAACCCGGCCAACACTTCACCGACTTCATCTTCCACCGACGAACATCGCCTCACCGACTTCATCTTCCTCCGACGACATGGTTACAGAGGGGTGTGGATGATTTCTATTGTGGATCTTAGCATCGATTTTGATCTGTGATCCGAATCTGGTTACAAATTGTGACCTAGAGGTGATGAGTGGTGTCAGAATAGGAATATGGTGGTGTTGCCGGAGAAAGAGGAAAGTCGACGGCGGCTAGGGTTTTGAGTGGCTGCCGGAGTGCATATTTCTCTATAAGATCATTATCTTTCTATCTCTATATCTCTTCTATTTCCGTCTCCTTCCCCATCATCGAACCCTTGATGTTAGAAGCAAACCCTCACTTCAATGTTGTAGCCAGTTAGGAACAACCCCTCCAACCCCGGACCACAACAACTGCACTCATAACCACTGTCACATGCGGTGGAATTGGTGATGGTTTAGTAGTTCTACAGAACAAGGTAGGGAAAAGGAGGGTGGAGGAAGCAGTCAACAGGACCCTCTGATATTTCTTCCATCTCTGCTTTATGTGAAGAGTCAACATGTCTTTGGTTCAGGCTTCTAACAACGTAAATCCCCTCACAAAATCACATTGTAGTTCTGTTACTTTATCCAATTGAAAACGAAAACAAGATTGGATTCGTTTTCACTGGGGAATTTTGGTAGGGGATTCGATTTTAGAGATTGATTTTGGTGGGTGATTCGATTTCTTGAACTGTTGTGTGAGATTGTGTAAAAAATAAACAAAACTTGTGAAATGTTTTGATTTTGTGGGAATGCATAAAAAACAGAACATCTTATGTCTATCTATTTGGGGTTATTGGTGGCAGATTATGGGGCTAGAGGGTGGTGGTTGGTGGTGGTGGCAGATGGGGGTGGTGATGTCGGACTGATATATCCCAGATAGCAACAACCAAACAAACGAAAAAACAAAAGAATGGGGATGGGAAAAGCCGGTGTCAAAGTGTGTGTGGTGCATATTTCTTTTCTTTTTGTTTTTTATATTAAAAATAATTAACAAATTAAAAAGAAACTAAAAAAGAAATGAAAAAGGGCAGAATAGTCATTTTAGGTCGGCAAGGATGAAACGTGCACGTTTAAAACAAATGAGGGATGATCCGAGTTAATTTTTGAAAATAAGGACTAAACGTGCATTTTGACACCCGCATGAGGGACGATTCGTGTAATTTACTCTTTAAAATACACCAAGGTTTTACGGAAAGGACTTATTTTAAAAAGAATGTTCCAGCAGGGGGGTCATTTGGTTATTTATCGAAGCAGAAAGAATTATAGGGCTTTTATGCCCCCGTCTTTGATTTATAGGGTTGCGAGGTACGATGGATGCCGATCGATTGCAGGCTGAGGTAGCGTCTCCGAGGTCGACGAGACCAAAGCGACGAAGGAACGAAGCAACGAACTCGGGCTCCCTCTCGTCCGGATGTGAGGTGCGAAGGGAGGAGGGGTACCTCTGATGTTTGGCCAAGTCGGAGAAGAGAGAGAGAGAGAGAGAGAGAGAGAGAGAGAGAGAGAGACGAAAACAGCGATTATTGTGTATCCGACGAGAAGGAAGAGACGAAAACAATAAGGTTGCTCGTCTTCTGTCTTGGGGAAAGTTGCGAAGGGAAGGAGGCCAGAATAGGAGTTTTTTTGGAACAAGGCAAGCAGGTGAGGGAGGGGCTTCGGTGGTGTTTACTCGACGGACAAAGAAGAGAAATGCAAGAGCCTGCTTATCATCGGTGGCAACAGGTGGGTGAATGGGGCTGCTTCGATAGATTCCCTTTTCTTCTTCTTTCTCTCTTTTTTATTTGTTTTGATAGAAACCGATGAAGGGAAAGGGTGGTTGGGTTTGATGTTTGACAGGGGAAGAGGCAACAGTGAAGGGTTGCTGCCTCGTGGTCTCGCCGGAAACTGCTCCATCTGCGGTGGAGCTTCTTAACAGCAATCAAGAAGAAGACGAAGGGAGGAGTTGAAGAGGCAGTTTTCTCTTGTTCATTGGGGTAGGAAAACATATTAGAACAATGTTTTCAAGGGTGTTTGGTTGCTTGAAATTGACAGGAAAAAGAAGACAAAAACGGGATTGGCTATTTCCCTCTTGGCAATCAACACACGGTGTGTGTTCTTGACATCATTAATGTAGAAGAGAAGAGAATGGTAGTGGTTGTGTGATAGAGATATGTGAGGAAAGAGTGCAAGAAACTCTTTAGCGTGTGATATTTGTGAAAGATGAAGTGTAGAAGAAAAGTTATTTGGCTGTCAATTTCTTTGTACTTGGTAGATTAAAAGAAAGGATTTGGTGGTACAATGATGTATATTCATGCTATATACATGTATTTATTTAGGAAATAATAATATATCTATATATATTATGAGTTTGTTATATATATATATATATATATATATATATATATATATATATATATATATATATATATATAAGAGAGAGAGCTAGGTTCAAGTATTAAAAGTAATTATTGTGTTATTGTATGCATTAATGTGGGCCAATTATTTCAAAAACTTAAATAAGGATATGTAATCTTACCTATTAATTAATTTTGTTAACTAAATAAAAATTTAATTAATCCCTAAAATATTGGATTGCTTTCCTATAAATCCCTTCAAATTCGTTCAAGACGCAGACCCTAAAATCCTTTGAAGGCTCCTGCTTCACTCACCTGTCATCCAACCGACGACTTAGCACTACCGTTGTACCACTGGAAGTTGTTGTCGCTCCTCCGCCGGTGTCGCACACCATCTGCCGACCATTCTTACATCTCCATTTGACCTTATTTTCCTCATTGCTGCTCCTGCTTCACACCCCATCACACCCAAATCTGGTAACATATCGCCGCCCTCACAACACCGGAAGCTGCCTTCTTTCCTCCTCAGCGGTGTTGGGACCATCGTTTGGGTTCAGAGGCGGAATGGGTCGTGGTAGCCGGGTAAGATCCTGGGCCCCGATGAGCTCTCTGCTTCTCCTCTCATGTCTCCCCAATCTGGAACTCCTGTCAAACTTCGTGGGAGGGAAGATGTCACTGTGTAAGTCCTCTAATTCACTTCCTCGATTTCATTCTTATGCATTATGTATCTCGTGTATATTTGCTGGAAGCTGCAAAGAACAAAGACAATTGGTGCGGTTTTTCATTTGTTGAGGAAGTAAAAAAAGAATGATTGGGTTAAGAAATCTTAAAGAACACAAAAATAATTCTATGAGAATATTGCACACCAGGTGTTTGTAGAAATGTCTGAAAGAGAAATTGATGTTCAAATTCTTGAAGAACACAAAAATAATTTATGAGTTCGTTATTTGTGTTACTTGATTTTAACATGTAGTATGAGTTCTCTAAGAATTACTAAAATTTGTTTTATTTTTATCGTATAAAAACATTCTCAAATAGTTTTATTCTTACATAATTCAATTTCATGACAGTTATTCAAGCCCTATTATCTTCACTTGTTTTACAAACATAAAATATTCATTTAAATTACAGTAAGGTGTATTCGGGATTTTGCATTTTCAAAATAGATTATGAGTTTTGATTTGCAACTATAATAATAACTAATAAGTATTCTTCATAAGGCCTAATTGTCAAATTAGATACGTTGCTATTTTATTATTTAAAACAAACATATTCATCATTTTGGAAGCTTTTGCTTGTAATTTGTGAATTTGGTTTTAAGGATTGTCATACGATTTCATGGTAGTTATTCTTATAAAATGCTCAATTTCATAGCAGTTATTCTCATAGAATGCGTGAAGGAGACATGCTGATCAAGGGCGTGAACGTTGGATGATGGCGCGTGAGATGAAGATGAATAATGCTCAATGGTCTTCACAAAAGCAAGCATTATTCATCGTTATATTCTGACAGAATAGTCCATAATAAAATGATTAAGTGCATTCGTTCAAGAATTCTATGCTTTTTAAAATCTTTATTTATTTTTTATGAGATTCTGTTAGAATATGTGTAATTGTATTAAAATGTACAAGACTATTACTCTATAAGAATATGTAGGATCTATTTACATTCAATGTCTATGAATAAATAAGAGTCATGTTATTTTTAAACTGATGTTCAAAAACTATTGTTTGTCTTCAAAATATTCATTCATTCAAACATTTATTTTTGTCAGAATAGATAATCTGACATTCTCATAGAATATCATTCTAACAGAATTATCTTAGAATTATAATCTAGTTAGTTAAAAAATCAAAATTCAAAATCAAGAAAATCAAATATCTCTGAAAATTCGAAACTTTTTATTAATTAAAATTGTGTTTCCTAATTAGTAAATTTTTGGTAAATTAAGAAAGTGAATGTTACCTATTTATTAAATGGAAAGCTTTTTCTTTTTCTTTTTTAATTTCTTTAACCACAATAACACTTTCTAATTACCAAAAATGATTGGCCCACATTTAATGCATACAATAACACAATAATTACTTTGAATAGAAGAACCTAAGCTTATATATATATATATATATATATATATATATATATATAATATATATAATATATATATATAATTCGAAGTTTATAGATTAGGAAGTGTCTAACATTTTTTGTTATGTTAAGTCTTGGTGTTTTATTGTCATACTTGATACATATACATATGTATGTATATGTTAGCGTTGTTGAAATATTATATTTATCTAACATATATATACATTACGACTATTTGGTGTTCATTTGAATATTTTAGGAAATTATAGCAATACAACTATAGTTGACCATAAAAACATTTCCCACACACATACATTGATATATATAGTTGCACACGATTTTTATGTTAATAGATCTTTTCATGTAAAAAAATCATTATAAATGTGCCTGTTTATTTTTTTGGTCGTGGTGATTCCAAAAACACAGACGGAATTGAATTCTGATATACTGATCTCCGTGAAATTGTGTTTAAGGTTTCGTGATTAACAGATTCAAAACGTCTGATTTTTTTACTTTTATAAATATTTTTACTAAAAATATTTCAAGTATGACATTAAATAATAGGCTATGACCTGAGTCCAAAAATGCTCTCCGAATTTCCATCTGAGGTGTGCAAGTCCCTCAACGGATAGAAATGGTTTT